GCATCCCGATATTCAACTTGAGCATAGATAAAAAGGTGGTGCCCCACCCTAAACTCAGCACCACATAAATCATTTACTTATATATCATCTATTATCTTCGTCCCACGATTCAAATACATGCTACAAAACTATGGGAGAAAAAAATAAAATAAAAAATTTCATGTCCTCATCTCTTTCAGCCCAATTTTCTATGTTTTGCAAGGAGAAAAGCCTAAATCTAAAATGAAGGATGACATTTTTTTTTCCTATTTAACTGCAAATCTTGTGTCCGTTCATGTGAATTAATCAAGAATCATTTTCGTTTGGAGTAATATTATTTAGCATCATTAAAATTAGAATAAAAGTTTAGGTGATATTAAATGCCATTAAATGAATGGTATAATTAAATCAATCAAATAATTTCATCTTAATTCAATCCATCACATAACACATATAGATAGGTGTTAGTTATCGTTATTCTTTTTGAGTAATGTTATTTAACACTACTAGTATTTAGGGATGTAAACCAGCGGGCCGAGCCAGCTTGCGAGCCTGAAGTTTCGGCTCGGGCTCGGCCCGATTAAAATGGTCGAGCTTTTTTGCTGGCTCGAGTTGGGCTGAGGGGCTGGCCCGAGCTTTTGCCCGGGCTTTTTCCAGGCCGAGCAGGGCAGGTTCGTTTTCTCCTCTTTTTTATTTTTTATTATTCCCCCCCCCCCNNNNCTTTTTTTTTTTTTTTTTTTCCCCCCCCCCCCCCAAACTGCTGCCTTCAAGGTAGCGAGTTGCTGCCTTTAAAAGGCAGCCTCAAAATTTAATTTAAATTTTTTTTTTTTAACTCGCGAGCTCACGGGCCGGCTCGGGCAAAGCCCGTGTCCCCAAAATGGGGCTCGGCCCTAGCCTAGGCCCGGGTCTACCGAGTCCCGAACTGGCGAGCCCAATTGCCATCCCTACTGCTATTACAACATCAATTTAGATGGTACTAAGTACTATTAAATAAATGGTACAATTCAATGAATTACATAATTTCACCTTGAATTCAGTATATCATATATTGTCACATAAATCGATGTTCTAATACCATTGGTGCAAAATAATATTATTTTTCTGAATAATACTATTTAACACTACTGATATTACAACATCAATCTATACGACATTAAATCTTTTTAGATGAAAGGTATAATTAAATTAATTACATAATTTCGCATTTAATTCAACATGTCACATAATGACACATAGACTGATTTTCTAACACTACTGATACTGAATAATATTATTCTTTATGAGTAATACTAATTAACACCACCAGTATGACAATATCAGTCAATGTGGCACTAAGTGTCATTAAATGAATGGTACATCTTTATGAATCACATAAGTTTACCTTTAATTCAACCTATTACATAATACCACATAAACTGGTGATCAATCATCAGTGGAGCTAAATTGTATTATTCTTTCTAAGTTGATATTTAGCTACTGATATTACAACACTAACATAGTTGACACTAGATGTCATTAAATGAATTACATAATTTCACATTAAATTCAACATATCACATAATGTCACTACTGCTATTTAACACTACTAATATTACAACACCAATGGAGATGACACTAAATGTTATTAATTGAACGATATAATTAAATTAATCGCATAATTTTACATTTAATTCAACATATTACATAATATCACATAGATTAATGCTCTGATACAACTGATACTAGATAGCATTATTCTTTTTCGAGTAATATTATTTAACACCACTATTATTACGACACTAGTAAATGTGACACTAAGTATCACTAAATGAATAATATAATTAAATTAATCACATAATTTCACCTTTAATTCAACATATCACATAATACCACATAAAATGATTCTCTAGCACCACTGGTGCGTGATAACATTATTCTCTCTAAGTAATGCTAATTAGCACAACCAATATTACAATACTAATATAGGTGACACTAAATATCACTGAATGAATGATACAGTTAAATGAATCATATAATTTCACTTTTACATATGGCCAAATACATTGATGCTCTGGCACCGTTAGTGTTAAATGGCATTATTCTTTTTGATTAATATTATTTAATACCATTGGTATTACAACACTAGTTTAGATGACACCAAATATCATTAAACAAATTATACAATTAATTGAATCAAATAATTTCAACTAAATTCAACCTATCACATAATGATACATTAATTGGTGCTAGATAACATTATCTTTTATAAGTAATGATATTTAACACTACTGGTATTATGATGCTAGTCTTGGTGACAATAAGTGTCACTAAATGAATTTTAATATTAATTGAATTACATAATTTCAATTTAATTTAACATATCACATAATTCCATATACACTGGTGCTAGAAAACATTATTTAGTTTGAGTTATGTTATTTAGTACCACCAGTGTAACAACACCAAATTAGGTGGTACTAAATGTCATTAAGCCCCCGTTTGGCTCCCATTAAAACTCATCAATTTAATTTAAATTTTTTTCTCTCTTATTTTCAATCACACAATCTTCAATAAAATAATATTACACGCAAATCGAAAAGTTTTCATTCTTTTACAACCATCCATTTTTCAAAAAATTACTATTCCCTCATTATAAATCCAAATAATAGGGATCAAAGTTATAAATCCAAATAATGGGGATCAGACAGGGGCTAAATGAATTATACAGTTAAATGAATCAAATTGTTTAACCTTTAATTTAACGTATAATATAATGCTACATAAATAGGGATGTCAATTGGGCCGAACTGGCTCGCGGCTCGTCAACTCGGCTCGTCAAAGCTCGGCTCGTGGGCTGCTCGGGCTCGTCATTTAGCCGAGCGGGGGGTCCGTCCAACGAGCCGAGCCCTCGGCTCGTCGAGCGAAAATTTTATCAATAAAATTTGAAATTTTTGCAAAAAATAAAATAAAAAATACGCGAGCTCGTGGCTGGTGAGTACACGAGCTCGCCCACGAGCAACGAGCCACAAGCTCGGCTCATCACGAGCCCCAGCCGAGCTCCCCTCAGCCCACTGCCATCCCTATACATAAACTAGTATTCTAGTACCACTAGTACTCGGTAGCATTATTCTTTCTAAGTAATGTTATTTAACACTACCAATATTATAACACCAGTTTAGATGATATTAAGCCCCCGTTTGGTTCACATTCTTTGGCCACAAAAATAAAAAATATGACCGTTGTCCATCACATCAAGTCACCATATTTGACTTTCTATCTCTAAGTGTGGGTTCCATAATAGTTATATTTTTCATTCTCATTCATAGAAAAATGTGAATCAAACAGACCCTAAGTATCATTAAATGAACGATTCAATTAAATAAATCAAATAATTTCACCTTGAATTCAACATATCACATAAATTAATGCTCTAGCACCATTGATATTACAACACTAATCTGGATGGCACTAGATGTTTTTAAATGAATGGTACAATTAAATGAATCGCATAATTTTACCTTTAATTCAACATATTACATAATGCCACATAAATTGATGATCTAGCACAAAACTGGTTCTAAATAACGTTCTGAGTTAAGGTTGACAACGGTTCGGTTCGGGGTCAATTCGATCAAAACCATCACTGAACCACCAATTTTTTGGTCATACTGTAACCGCACCATAACCACGTAAGTTGGTTCGATTCAACTCAGATCGTATCTCGATTCGAGCAGTTAATAACCATAAAAATAAATTATTTTTTATAGATCCAACCGTCAAATTGCAAAAAAAAAAAAAAAAAAAATGAAGTTAACGAAAACAAATATACAATACTAAGCCAATTTAACAAGCAACATCCCAAATGAAAATGCAAACAATATCTCAATTTCCAAATGCAAATTCCGTTATAGTCCAATTTTGATTGGTAATAAATACCGAGCATTGCAATATTTGATTGAAAAAATCTGAATTTAACAAACAATTTTAATATATGTTTAATATTTTTGTAGTAGGATATATGGTTACTAAATTAGGTTAGTTGAACTTAGCGGGTCAATAATGAGCCAGAATTTTGGGCTAAACGAAATCATAGAAAATATAATGGAAAGCTCTGCCCAATTAATTTTTTTAATGGATAATCTTTTTGGGGCGGGGCGACGGCGTAAATGCTAAACCAGCCCTGCCTCGAACCGGAGCATTAAAATTAAGTACCGTATCTACCTCATTGCACCATTGGTTCGATTTATTCGTCTAATTCGGTTCGATTAACTGTGATTTTCGATTTTGACAATTCGAATTGTCATCCCTATTTTTTAGTAATACTATTTAACACCCTTGGTATTACAACACCAGTAAATGTGGCACTAAGTATCATTAAATGAATGATACATTTAAATGAATCAAATAACTTTACCTGTAATTCAAACTATCACGTAATGTCATATAAACTGATGCTATTGTAACACTGGTGTTAAATAGTATTATTCTCTCTAAGTAATATTATTTAGCATCACTGATATTACAATACCAATATAGGTGGCATTAAATATCATTACATGAATAGCACAATTAAATAAATTACTTATTACCTTTAATTCAACATACCACATAAATTAGTGTTAGATAATGTTATTTAAAACCACTGAGGTTACAATAACAATTTAGGCAATACTAAATGTTATACAATTAAGTGTCTGTTTGGTACAGATCTGATTTTAATTTGAGTCAGGGTCAAAGTTAAACAATCAATATTAACCACATTTTTTATGCGTTCCATAACTTTTCAACCACATATTTTAAAAAATGTTATCACAATCTACTAAAAAATCTAATTTTATTTCCCACCAAACAACCTTCAAATAAATCACATAATTTCACCTTTAATTTAATATATAATATGATACCATATAAATTGGTGCTCTAACTAGATAACAATGTTTTTTCTTTTGTGTTGAAAAGAGATTTTAAAACAAAAAGTTGAGTAAGCATGAGCGCATATTCCATTCACGGCTAGCTTTGGCAGACGACAAAAGTCCATTCGGCCTTTTCTTCACAAAATAACCAATTAACAAAAACCTTTGTATTGATCCCATTAGATACCCAATTGCATGTTCTCTTCTAACTACTATCATTTTTCTTGTTTTTTATGTGGATATCTGAGTATAAATATTAAATAGCAGTATCCATAAGCCAGAAGCCAAAAAATAATCCATTTAAGATTGTTTTCTTGATAATTAAGTGGGACTAATGGAAGCGCTGCCATTGGCAACTGCAGTCGTAGTGGGTGGTCCGGTGCTGGCTCTTGGCGGCGTAACTTTGCTTTTTCTTAAAAATTACATAAATGATCAAAAGAGGAGATCTACAAGCCTTACACTTCCACCAGGTTCTTCTTTTTCTCTTTAACTGTACAGGATTCCTCAATCCCTGCCCGGCTCAGTCAAAAGTCCCTTCTGATCTTACTTTCTATTTGTATCCTAATGAGATTGAAATAAAATGGTGAATTTATTGCAGAGGTGCCAGGGTTACCAGTGATTGGGAATCTGCTGCAACTGAAAGAGAAGAAACCCCACAAGACTTTTGCCAAATGGGCTGAGACTTATGGTCCGGTGTTTTCTATAAGGACAGGGGCCAACACCATGGTTGTCCTTAACTCCAACGATGTCGCCAAGGAGGTAGGTACCCTTCTCTGTGGATAGCTGCCAAATTAGAATTTTTGGTCAGGATAATAATTTTGTGAATTTCATAAATTTTCTTTAGTAAGTCAAAAATTTGAGTGGCATTTTGTATGAAATTTTTTTTTATTAAAGCACCACATCATGAGAGGCAAAGGAAAGGTCAGGTCCATAATAGCTATGCTATTGCTCTACTGATTTAAGGCCTCTGCCGAAAAATCTTCATAGGTAGCGTTGGCACTGTCAAGTAATCCTCGATATCCACTTTGTACACCCTAATTAAGAGGCTAATTCGTAGGTTCGATTCCTGCTAGATGCACTTGGAAAATCGATCGTTCCTCACGGAGATCTTGTAGGAAGTGCTGTACTTTCTCATTCAAAAATAGACTTCTATCCTCTGTATGTATGTTTGTGTGTCGAATTTCATGAATGATTCTTGGGCCTTATCCACCTCAATATCTCTGTGGCTCGTCTTTTTTTCCACAGTAAATGAATGATGTTTCGATGGCCTCCTAAGTTCATTGATTGCCCCAACACTTAGGATTAAAACATATAGATTCTGCTAAGAGAATGGTAAAAATAGTACTAAGAGACATCTTTTGAAAAAATTCCCTCGAAAAAACGTGGCTCTGCCACTGCTGTTGATTTCATTCTTAGCTTGAATTGCTTTCGAAAAGGTAGTGCTATGGGGGCAAAAATTGTAAGCTAGAGATCAAGACGGGAACTAAGGAGAATAAGACATGACACAAATTTACTTGGTTCGGTAAACAAAGCCTACGTTGCTGTGTGCGGGGGCAAGGGCGGGGGCGGTTGGGGATTCACTAGGAAAATGAGATTGCTGGGCTTTTTCTTACAACTATACTTCTTGCTTATGAGAAACTTGCTCATTTAACAAACCCGAATGATATATCCAAATATAGGCATAGAATTGGATTAAACAGCACAATAAAAATGTGTTAGGCCAGTCCTCTGCTTAGTGAGTATTGCACAATATATGTTATAAAGCTTTACGAAAATTAAATTAGACTTGAGTTACCAGAGACCAGAATGCAGAATATTACAGGAGATTAAGCATGTTGAATGTAGCAAGTTTCCTGTCTTTTCTTTAATCAAAATAATAATATTGTGTTGCTGTAGCTTATTCTTCCTTTGATTTGTCCTGTCGTGCTTCTCATAACTTGAATATTAAAACATTTTGCAATACCAAACTCATTGAGAGAGTTCATTAATTATTTTCTTAAGTGATCAGCTTATAAACTTCATGATCTGATGCTGCAATTATTCAATCATCTGTGGGAGTCGGGATGATCATATTGTTCTCTCCACAACTCATGCAAAATTCTTAAATTTGGCTTTATTACATTCCATTTCCATCTTACTTCTTTAAATTAGCCTGTGCTATGAACTGCTGTATCTTGGGTTCTTCATTATGAAACTTATCTGGATTCCTTGTTTTACTTGATGCTCTATCTTAATCTCGTGGACGCTAACTTATCACTCAAATTATGTTACATTCTTTTATATCCTTTTGCTTTGTACACTTATGGCATGCTCGGTAAGAGGATTAAATTGTACTACTTTCTAGTTTGTACCAAGCATGCTCTTAGGTTACATTAGATGGCATTAGGCAGAATAAACAAACTTTTATTCCTTGTTTGTTTTAGGCCATGGTGACAAGATATTCATCCCTCTCGACGAGAAAGCTATCAAATGCACTAAAGATCCTCACATCTGATAAAAGTATTGTTGCAATGTGTGATTATAATGAATACTACAAGACCATAAAAAGACACATTCTTACAAGTACTCTGGGATCAAATGCTCAGGTTAGTGCTGTTAAATATGTCCTGCGAAGGTTTTTATTGCCGTAAAATTATATAGTTTTTGGTAGTGGAGATAGTACTAATTACATCGGTTATGGCAGAAACGACATCGTGTTCACAGGGATATCATGATAAATAACATTACACAGCAGTTCCATACTCTCGTGGAATTGCATCCTTCTGAAGCCGTAAATTTCCGGAATGTATTTCAGTCTGAGCTTTTTGGATTATCACTTAAACAAGTGAGTTCACTTACTTCACATTACAGTTATTTGTAGCTCTTTATACTCTATCTAAGATTGTGATCATAACAAGATGTGTCCATTACTCAGGCTATTGGAAAGGATGTTGAATCCATTTATGTGGAGGAATTAGGTGCTGTTTTGTCAAGAAAAGAGATATTTGAGATTTTAGTTATCGACCCTATGGAAGGTGCTATTGAGGTGGATTGGAGAGATTTTTTCCCTTATCTAAAATGGATTCCCAACAAAGGCTTCGAAAAGAGAATTCAGCAAATGTATTCCCACAGAGAGGCTGTGATGAAGGCCCTTATTAAGGAGCACATGAAACGTATTGCTTCTGGAGAGGTACTGTCACTTCCTTGAAGGTGTTACTTCTTTTTAAGTAAAAAAGTTATATATTTTGGAAGTAACTCTTTTGCTTACTATTGAAATAAGTAACGTTTCCCTACTTTTAACCATTCAGGAAATTATTTATGATGTAGCTAACCTTGTGACAGGAAATTAACTGTTATCTCGATTATTTGGTATCTGAAACAAATACGTTATCTGAACAACAAATATTGATGCTGCTTTGGGAAGCCATTATTGAATCTTCAGACACTACTGCAGTGGTCACGGAGTGGGCCATGTACGAGCTTTCTAGGAATCCCGAAAAGCAGGTATTTCATTCACTCTGTTCGTCTAATTCGTTTATCGTTTTTTCAAATATTATTTGTACATAGTACTAAGTAAAATTTCTTTCGGTTGAAACAGAATCGTTTATACCAGGATATTCAAAATATCTGTGGGTCTGACAAAATTACAGAGGAAAAGTTGTGCCACCTTCCATACTTATCGGCTGTTTTTCATGAAACTCTGAGAAGACATAGTCCTGTCCCAATAGTTCCTTTAAGATATGCGCATGAAGATGCACAATTAGGAGGATATCATATTCCTGCTGGAAGTGAGGTATTACTTTTCCCATGATCTAATGCAATTTCATTTTCAAGACCAGAACTGTGGGCAGATCTAAAGATCCGTTGCCCCCACACTAAATTTGAAATCCAAGATTTTACACAAGACTTTCAAAACAAATTCCTTATAATTTTCAATTTTGACCCCACAATTAGAATTTTGTGAAATTTGCCTTTCACAATTCTACTCTCCTGACTGAACCTTTAGTCTGGAATTGTAACAATGGATTGTATTCGCAGATTGCTATAAACATTTACGGTTGCAACATGGACAAGAAAATATGGGATTCTCCCGAAGAGTGGAATCCGGAGAGATTCCTTGACGGGAAAGGTGATTTGATGGAGCTACACAAGACTATGGCTTTTGGTGGGGGAAAGAGGGTTTGTGCAGGTGCTCTCCAAGCAATGTTAATTTCGTGTGTGACAATTGCTCGATTAGTACAAGATTTTAAATGGAGACTCAAAGATGGAGAAGAAGAAAATGTCGATACGTTGGGGCTAACGAATACCAAACTCAATCCTCTGCTAGCCATGATGGAGCCAAGAAATTGATGAAGTTGGTAAATTTGTTATCATGCAGCTATTAGTTTATTAAGGGACTCTTCTCCAATCTTTCGGAGTATTTCCTTAGTGAAGTCAGATCTACAGGTTAATATTTTCATTTTTGGAGCGTTATTTTATGAATAAAGGGGATGCAGGGTTGCATCCCCTATATGCTTCAAGCTTGTAAGTTGTACCTTCGTATCTTACCTCCAGCTTTTATCGACTTGCACACTAATGAGCTCGACTAGTCTGTTTGATAGTATAGTTAAAGATTCAGCATATTTCTCTGCTTTCTGAATTTATGATACTTCTATAGTTTTGAAGATAATATATGCTTTTACATTCTTTACACCAATTTGACATGTGGTTCATTTACACAGCCAAGAAGGTAAAGTCACTTTGTCAAAAAAAGGTTAACAGATATCTTGACATAATGGATTTTGACAAAATATGATTGGATGGAGACTGTGTTTTAAACAGTCTAATGATAGAATGTCATATGACATTGTATGAAGGATTATGTTAACCTCTCAAGCACTATAGCATGATTTAGTCAAGATGGTTGCGTTGTTAATAATTTTATCAGAGTTTTATGTTATGTGATATGATTTGAAGATAGTGGTGCACTGGTGCATAGGCCTCTTACTTCATGATGCCACTTCTCTGTGTTATGTTCCTTGGCTGCAAACTCGGGTAATCTACCAATAGGCAATGGTCCGTGTGATTGTAGTCAAAATAAATCTCACTTAGTTGCTTGACGAAATTTTTGTCAGTTTGACTATGAATTTGTGATTTGTCCTCCATACATAGTCAAATTGTGTTGTGAAGATGCTTGTTAATCATTAGGTTGTCAATTTTTTCTTAACTCGATCTAAAGACTCTAATTGCAAAAGAAGCTCTCTGAGTAAACTAATTTGAAGACTGAGTCTTTCCTTGTTAGAGTACCCTCAAGCGTATTTAGGTTGAACAAGGTGAAGTTTTGTTCAAAATATCAAGTCATAGTCGGTCATTCATTTGCTCACGTGACAGTCTACTTTCTAAGATTTATTGTTAGAATTGAATTAGTTGTACATTCTTTTTGTACAACTAATTTGACATCATTTGATTTGTCAAAATCATGAACATTGATTTAAATAAGTGTTAATTAAGTTAATGGTCATGATTTTGACATATCATGAACGTCAAACTTAGGGAGTGTTTGTACCCCCATTATTTTTTAGAGTAATGTATTATGAAATAGTGATTAATGTTGAAATGTGTGGTTAAAAGAGAAGAAAAAGTTTTTGATTTACGTGTAATATTATGTTAATGAATAATGTGTTCTTGAAAATAAGCAATGTAGAAAAAATAATATGGTAGAATGTGAAAAAATATAAACAAACAAAACCTTAATGTACAAAATGAATTTATGCAGCAGCTTTGTGTTTGTTATGTAATGGCATGATGGAGTTATCAAGTCTAATCAACCCATAAGGAATTTACATGACTGTTTATTTCTCATTCTTCCCCCATTAAAATAAAAAATATGTTCGTTATCCATCACATCAAGTTATCAAATTTAAATTTATATCTATTGTGTAAGGTTCATAACAACTATATTTTTCATTCTCATTTATACAAAAATAAGAAACAAATGTCCCCTTTTAATCTTTCAATAAATTTCAGGATGATATGTTCTTTAAAATTCATTTTTTTAAATACATTTTTAGTCACGCATTTTTCAAATAAAATAACCTGAAATGTGAATTCATAATTTTTCATATTTTTAATCACACTTAAAAAAAAAAAATTACTTTACACAAAATGGCTCTCACGTATTTAGAGAATAGATCATGGCTCCACTCAAAGCATGTACAGGTCATAATGACGTTGAGACTATTATAAAAAATAATAATAATGTTACTTATCAATAATGATTTACATACTGATGATATAGGTAAATCCATATGTACAGAAGAGATTTTGACAGAAGTCTCACAGATTACTCACATCGAAGGTGGGTCCCACGTCAAACTCCATGAATTAAAAAATGGCCAAAATGTGCTTATCCCACCCCATTGTGAGACCTCTGTAAGAGGTCTGTAAATGGTGGGTTTGTACACCTAGCAAGACCCCTGATGATATATTAAAAAGAGAGTGAAAAGGATTTTTCATTTAATTGAAAATTTTTGACTCAATCATATTTCACTCACTATATAAATTATCATGTACATGTACCAAAGTCGAAAAAATAATAACAATAAATAATTTAAAGGGAGAATTTATATCAGAAACTTGTCAAACATACAACACATAACCGATGCCCAAAAATGAAAGTTGGAATTTTGGCTTTTTTAATTCCATAGTGGAGCAGGGCATCCAATATTTGATGTTATAATTTTGGGAATAGTATTTTATTTTTTAAAAATATATGATTAAAAAGAAGAAAAAAATTGGTTTATGTGTAACATTATTTTATTAGAGAATATGTGGTTAAAAAAAGTAGAAAAAATATATTACAGATAAAAATTAAGGCCCCGTTTGGTAGCATTTTTTTCAAAATGCATTTTTCTCTCTCTTTTTTTTAACCACACATTCTTTATTAAAATAATATTACACGTAAATCGAAAAAAATTCTTGTTTTTCCACTATACATTTTGCATCAATTTACTATTTTAAAATGTATTTTTACATAAAAATGTCTATCAAACGTCCCCTAAAATTTAGATTTTAATAACTTGATAAAATAAATGATTGAAAAAGTTGTGAATCCTGTTAAATATGTTATTAGAATTTAGATGCTTATATTGATTTAAATTAAAATTAAAATTTTAATTCCTATCAAATAGACATTAAACAAATAAAATTTAAGGATTATGAGACAAAAGAACTTCATCAAAGTCCAATACAATTTAAATTCTTAATTATCCACTCCCTATATAAGTTACTTCCCCGCTCCTCCTTCAATGATCGACTACTCTTATAGTAGATAGAATTGTTCATTATTATAGATTTTCAACTACTTTTCACTCGATTAAGAAATTTTCAAATGAAATTAAATCCCAACAAATCTTAGATCTTGCTTTAAAAGTATTTATAAACAGTTAAAATTATAAATAAAAATTATTAATGATGAATGAGCGAATACTACTTTAAAATTTATTGAAATATGTGGATCAAAAGGGACGCAAGTAATTATAAATATGAACAAACATAGCGTTAAATAATACCCTTGTTTAAGCCCCGTTGTTTTTAAGAATAAATGTTATAATAGTAATTTTCTTGAAAAATGCATGAATAAAAAGTTTTAAAAAAAAATAATTAATTTTACTCGTAAAAACTAATTTTAGTAAAAAAAACTGAATAAAAAAAAGAGTTTTTAAATAGTAGAGTAGCACAGGCAATATGCGACATAATAATAAGTAATTAAATTAGGATCGAACAAAACTCTTGAATCGAACCGATCGAATTGGACTCGAACTGAACTGAATCTAACAGAACGATTCTTCATAAATTAAATACTTGAATGTGTATCTGAATCGAGAATCGACAAGTTTAGTTCAGTTCTCGATTCTAGATCAAGAATCAAATAACTGAATAAGAACCGAATTTGCTTATTTTTTAATTAATTTATTCTAAATAAGCAAAATTGTTTTTTGAAATAGATTTGCTAACTAATTTTCAATCCAAGTCAACTTAATTAAATTTACCTAAGTTTTATTCAAATATATTATTTTATTGTAGTGTCGTTTCTACCGTTTTGGAGAAATCGAATTGAAACTCGATAGCACCTCTTTTAATTATTTTGAACTTGATATCTTCCTCTTCCTATAATTTTAATGGTCAAATCTATGAAAAACTCAACGAACCGAGACGCAAAGAATATATAAGATTGTAATATATTATTTTGTATAAGTTAAGATTGAACATATCATTTATTAAATTAATGCAATTTTATAAATATTAAAAAATTTAATTATAATACAAAACCCAATAAGCCAAAAGAGTGGAACGAAATCGAGTTCGAACGATTTTATAATTAAATTTAAATACGAGCATTTCACTTCTAAATATTTGAAAATTTCGATCCCCCTGAATTAAGTTGAAAGAGACAAAACCGGGAAACAGATATTTTCAGGTAGACAGACAGAGAGACGAGTGACTTCACTTGGCCACTCAGTCTTAATTATACGCTTCACACGTGCCTGATTTAAAACAGACTTCATTTGACACGTTTCCTATACTTCTCTGATATTTTACACCACTCCACCTACCCTACTGCTCTGCCATTGCTCCTTTCTATGCATGCCACCACGGCACCACCTAATCAACCTATATGTATGTACGTGGGCAATACATATTTATTAAAGGTTGAGCCTCAGTTTTGAGAGTTCTACCGTCTCGTCTTTAGAGTTTTGTGTGGGAGGTAAATCACGAAATGTGTCTCAATAGATCAGGAAACAAGAATTGTCTGTACACTGCACCTACAAGAAGCCCAATTCAATATCTCAAAAATCGAACCCTCACACTGCAGCTGCCAATAAGATGTGTAATAACCTCACTCCTGTCATTTATTATTTGCATAATTGCTTGCTCATATATGTATATATAGGTTGGGCGTAGCGTGGAAAAAATTGCCACACCCTCAAACTTGAGATGTTGGTCTGTCACCATTCTGGATTATTCTTCTCCATGAAATTGCGTACGTAGAAAATTTTTGTACAGAAACAGTACAAAATACACACATGTAAAAATGGATGGATTATTTTTTACAATATTTTAATTCACATGAGATTCATCTTATATGAGTGTCTGTGATGTTTTTGTATATTACTTTCAAGCAACTTTTTTCTAAAAAATATATATATAAATATAGAAGATACGCGCATGTAAATTTAAGTGGACACAATGAATTCGAAGTAATGTTACCTTCTAGCTCGAGGCTATCAAGTTTCTATTTTCATTTATCAAATAATATTTCATTGCTTGAAAAGTCCAAATGAAAAAAATTCAGAATTTACCGATTTAAATCAAGCTCCTTATAATGCAGAACGGTAGTGTCTGGGATCGGGAACAACAAGGATACATGACTATACCTAGAATGGGTAAAAAAAAAATAGAGATTGAAATAAATAAAGTGGAAATCACACGCACCCTTGTTTTTTAACTTACAATTTCAAAAATAAAGTTTAAATTTTTTTTGTACAAAAATCATGTGATAATTTAATTTTTTTTAATATTAAATTAATTTATATCCAACCCACCCCACCCCATCCCACCCCATCCATTGTACTCCAAACTCTAATTCTTGTTCCTTATCT